GCTGTGCCCATTGGACTTGCATGTAATCCTTTTTAAATCGGGATTTGGATGCTAGGCTGAAAGTTAAACTTTATACTAAAGTATGAGCAATGACAAAGCCAAGCTGTGGAGTATCTGAGTCCAGATATTTTCAAATGATTTTGTCACTATTATTCTAATCTGTTGAAGTTTATTCTGAGCAGAAAACTGTAATACACTGGTGCTAAGTTCATGAGCATCATAAATATACAGGGCCAGATACAGGAGTTTTGTTAGGAGGGGGTGCACCACTAAGGAATGGCATAACTGACTGCTGAGGTGAACAAATTTTATAAGTGAATACGAGCTAATACAGAGAAGAGGGCTTCATCTCATGGGTGCACTGTCCCCTTAATCCGCCCCTGATGTACAAACTTTGTATGACTGATTTTTGTCTATGCTACCTAATGATGTACCTACCAGTAATTGCTTCAGTGACATCTTGGTCCAATTCATGAAGTCTTTTCCCATTCAGTTCTTCTTTTGGGTAAAAGACAGATAACAGTGCACAGGCCAGTGCTGTCCTTCACGACGAGTCTTTGACAGCTGCGTTGACTTTTATGGGGCAGCACCACACACTGTTTCCAATTTCCTCCCACTATGAAGATCCAAAAAAAAATTATGAATCACTTCAAACCATGCAAGTTAGAGCATGTAACTCAAAGTTAACTTTGAAACAAAAGGCTGCCGCACACTAGCTGATTTTTTGTCATATCACTTGTTATAAACAGAGCATAGAAACTTACATTTCTTGCTATCCCACTGATCTAGAAATCTTGCCATACTCAGTGGAATCAGTGGCACTGTTTGCATGTACGGTTTTCAGTGTTCCTGTGATTTGAATAGACAGTAGTTTGGTTTGAAATATTGGTTTTAACAGTGGGTGGGGGCACTCAGTACTTCAGTTCAACAACTGGAAATTGTGGGATCCAATTTAAGTAAGTCGTGCTATAGGTAGTTAAACTGTAGTTTAAAGGGTAAGATTAGTGACATTGTTTATAAAAAGGCATTTGCAAAAATTCACAACAACTACAATCCAGTAGTAAGCCTTTCCCAAGCTTATATCAGTAGGCAAGTACATTGTGCATGGACATGGCATCCAGGGTGGTGTCAACCATATCAGGATAAAAAAGAATAATATTGAATAAATTAATAAATAAAAAACCAGATAAATAAATACATATATAAATAAATGAACCTAGAACTAACACTTACTGAGTTCCTCTAGTGCCTTGTCCAATTCTTTATGAGTGCTTTGCAACTCCTCTGCCAATCTTCCTTTTTCCTCTTTGCATACTACGCTGATGCACTTTAGGGGTTTGTGCTGCTTTGGCTGCTTGCCCCCAAAGTGTGGATGCTGAAGTTTCTTCTCAGCCTCTGGTTTTGGAAGAGCTGGCTCTGGGATGCAAGAAGCATTGAGTACCACAATGTCTTGGGGCTTATTCTTAAAAAACAACCTCCAGAGGATCAATTGGATTTGGGAGAGGCAGTGACATGGGAGAACATGAAGAGAGGATCTCAGAAATGACAGGTTCGTCATGCTGGGTTGTAATACTCAGAAGTTGGTCTTTTTTGGTAGAAGTTTTCTTTTTCTTTGAGGCTTTATTAGTTTTTTGGT